TAATGGACTATGCTAACAGGCGCAGGCTCCGCACGTCAGTCAATCCCCAGTATTATTAATAGGATGAATTATTCTCTTGGCTCCCTCTAATGATCTTGCAGTGTGCCCCAGTAGTTCAATTTAGATCTAACTATTGCCATATAAAGTCTTCTTATTACTGAACAGTTCTCTCTCCAGGATGTATTGCTAATAATTTAGACAACATTAATTTTCAAGCACTTTTTTAAGTTCTTTCGATGCGGAGTTCATGTTAACTTTTCATTTAAAACCACTCCTACTGCATATTTTTCTATTATGATGTTACTACCACTCGTGTACATCTTGGTGGCAGCTGAAGGTTTAACATTATTCTGGTGATTATTAATAATAAGTAGGATTATAAAGTTCCGATTCCTGAGGTATATCCTTCACTCGTTGGTTGCGGAGAAAGTTATATTTAACCTAAACTTGATTAAGCATTATTTTAAGATGTTGCAGATAAACTCGCTGATGTTGCCTTTAATCTTAGTCTTCATTATTATATTTTTCAACCGGTTTTCTCCATACCATTTCATTTGCTTTCTTTACGTCTGAGATTAAAACTAAAGTGCTCATATTTTTAGCAAAACCATGTTATTATATCTTTAGTTCTAGCTATTTAGTTCTGCTAAATATAATTTTGTCTATTCTTACCTACTATGTTTCTACTGGTTTATAATTGCTAGTCAAAAAACATTTTCCTTGATTTAAGGACAGATATTAAAGTAGCTTCAGCCCGGGTTTCGCAAGTAAAGTATGTGTACATCCGATTGTATACGGTTTACAACATCAGCAGCAAATGAAGCCATCTTCAGAATAAACACATGAATTTCGTAAGGATCTACAAAGGTAACTTTCAATTTGCTAATGATTTCTTGTATATACTTGCTAATGATAGAACATTTAAATGTTTAATATCTACAGCAACTGCAACCACTCTAATACGTATGTTGTGCGTGTTGCGGTCAGTTAGGGACTTTACAACCAATGTTAGCTGCGCGCCATCTGTTTTCACTCACTAGAAGTACGTAAAGCTATTCAAAAGCACATTGCTTTCAGAAATTTTACAAAGTTCTACAGGGCGAAACACTGGGTTTTTTGCATGGAAGCTATTCTATTCCATTCCAAAAGATGGCGGCCACCTAGCTGAATCCAGCTTGTTTTTCAGTTTTCATATTTTCCCACCGTGTTGTGAACATTTATGAGTGATCCACGTTGCTTGGGCAAGACTCACTGAGGATAGGAAAAGTGTTTCCCGAAAGTTAACTCTGGGTAATCATTATTTCATGTACATTTTTCACAAAATTTAATAAATGGTTTTCTTTAAACTTTTGGTAGAGATAGTACTCTATGTAAGAGTAAATGTACTCTATGAGAAAACATAAACATAAGTTTGCTCTATTCGTTTGTTAATTATTTTAAAAAAATATTTTTCACTTGTTTCTCACATCGTTAATATTTAAGTTAGCTGCAATTTGTTCACATTATCATATTTATGTGATTTAAATAATGTCAGATAAAGTTTCTCGAAAACGCAATAGTTTTCTGTGAAAACTAGCTCAAAACTCCACATTCTCGGAAACGCTCAAAAGCCATTTTATCAAAAACATCTCCAATTTTTTTCAAACTTTTCGAACGGATAGTTTTAATTGCACTCTTTAATATGACACAATGTTCATTTCGGTGTATTTATTTGTTGTTTTTCGAAAGTTACAATTATGTAATTTATTGAACATTCTTTCACGTATTAATATGCACATTTCCAGCAATGTGTCAAGCCCAATGTATTTGTGAGTTTAAGTGCTTCAAAGGACATCAAAAGAAGTTTTTCGAAAACTCAAAAATTTTCTTTGGAAAAGAGCTTTTAATTTCGAATTTACAATAGAGCTTAAGTGCCATTTTCTTAAAATCAGCTCTAAATATTTCATAGAAAATTGCCATTTACGGAGGTTTAACTGTTTTTTAATACTATTAAAATAATATTTCCATTGTACGATTAGGAAACCGAAAAATTAAAGATAAAATCCAAAAACTGTACTTTGGGCTCGGTATATTTGAGCTGGCAAAAGTAGCGATAGATGGGAGTGGCAAGTCTGAAAAGCTAACCGAGACCAAATGAAACAAAAAAACAAAGTCTAGAAAGTCTTTAGCATTCTGGATCAACACCAAGTCTTTATTCAAATAGTCACATTGAACGAGTACAATTTCTTACGTAAATCTTTCGGCCTTGAAATCCCGTATTGGAAAATCTGCCTTCCCACGAATATAAATTTTCCATGGCCGTCACAGATTCCATTACTGAGCTAAAAGAAGTTAAAAAATGAAGGCTAATTTTAGATATTTATATTTTAAAATAAATAAATAAACTATTAGTTTACGGGAAAGGGATCGGAGCGGATGGCAAAAAATTTAAGAATATTTTTAAAAAAAATTGTTTGACGTCAGCGATATATCTTTGCACTGATAAAAGTTTGTCAGCATTGCAAAATATGTTGTAAAGCATTGCGATAATTTGCTTCAAACTGGCTGCCGTTGAAATTAATTGCTTACAGTTGTTAATATAATTTGTGATTTTTAGAAAGAAAGCTGACGATCTGTAATCTCATGTACGTTTTATCGTCGCTTATAGAGATGGTTCCCTTCTCTTCACTTAGCAAGAATTATACTTCCATAAATCATCACAGATGAATTAATAGAAGAGTCAATAATATATGTTGCCCAATATAGTTACACAACTCTGATATGAATGAAGCAATAATAAATATTGCACAATAGAGGTACACACCTCTGGTATGAATGCTAGTAAATGCAATGGTGACACGAGAGCAGCCGTGACGTTGCACTAACAAAAAGCGCCATTATTACAATGTGAATAAATAAAGCGGTTTTAAGCAATATGTCGATTGAACTGTTGAAAGTAAGCACTAGGTCTGCAGATTGCTCCTGACCGTGGGAGAGCGGTTGAGCTTTCCCTCAACGACGTCTAAGGAGCCTGCCGCTGCTCGCCCGGAGAGTGCTGCTGGCCGGTTGCTCCACCATTACTTAAATTTTTGAGTTCATCGTAAGAATTGTAAGGTGGACGTGTCCGTTTCACCATAGACTTTAAGGTCGTATTCACAAACATGTCTTAATCGAAGCGTACATAAGTTTACTTTGCGAGCTGAAGTTGACTTTCGAACAAATCGGAATTATGCAGTGGCAGCTCGTGCTTACGTTGCACGGTTGCACAACCTCCCCGTATTGAAAAAGACCTCATAGTACCTTAGGAATATGCATTTTTCTTTAATGACATTCAATATTCAAGATATTGCAGATTGATTGCGATATCGATGTATATGAAATTATTTTGATGCGGAAGTAGCAAAGAGCGACCTACTGGCGCTCACTTCGCTGTCTAGTATCCTTCCGGGTATTGCAACACACCACGCTCTCGGCTCTTGACTGTATTACTAGGTTTGCTGCATTTACTCTTTGGCCCTACGGTTTAAGACGCGGAGTATGCTGGCTTTTAGTGGTACAACTAACTGGTGGCGCTGTCTAGCGCTGCGCGGCGACTGAGGGAGTTTCAGTGGAACCCCAATATTCTGGCTTCGTCTGACTCTTTGACACGTAATTTTAAGAATTTCGTTTTTTATTGAAAGTACACAAGTTCAATCAATTATTGACGATATTAAATGCATTGCTTATGGTATTTGGAGATTTTTTAAAATTTGATATTGGGTTTGTTCATTCCAAACGCACATATGATGAGTTCTTTGTGTGAAGGTGGCCGTTTGCTTCTCGGAGACGCCAGTGTGACTGCAACTGGCCGGCCAGTAGTTTTCGAGCGTTCTTGTAAATACGAATGTGTGTCGAAACTCTTTTATTATTGCCATACATTCCAGGGCAGTGAAGTTTTGGAAATAAAATAATTTTATTTGTGTGAAACATGTCGAAGCAATAGTGCTTGTTGCAATGTCCAGGAGTCGAACGTAAATTCTCAGAGGAAATCAAAGTCAGAACTATGTACGCTGGTATATAATATACCTGACACGGACACGACGTATTAAATTATATAAGTAATGTTTCAATATAGATTTTTAATTCACTTAGATTTAATTAATATGCATTGCTTACATTTTTACTTTCCAGTATACATACGTATAGAGAGAGTCACATATGCAGTACAGGGAAAGTTATGCAATGCTGCAGAAAATCGATTTCGAGATTTCAACGGAAGTACACCTCTTGGGGTCCCCTGATACCGAAAAAGTGTTTTTTTAATACGCCTGTCCGTCCGTCTGTCTGTACATCTGTTCGTCTCTCCGTCGGTCCCTCTGACTGGTGTATTGTTAACAACAATAGCGCATAAACCTTGCGTAGGATTTTTACTTTCTCGCACTTACTAATGTAAGAAGAGAAAGTACTGTAATCATGCGCCGGAAAACTTAGTAAATCATCGTTTCAAAATGAACATAACTTCAAATTGGTAGCCGATTTGGAACATTTATGACAATTAGGGCTATTTATCAAAAGTAGAATGCAACAGAACTTCCAAAAGGGGCTCGTTTTGTAAACTGCAGTCTTAAAAACCCAAGTTCCTGTAGAGACATGAACACTCGGCTTTAGGGACCCAGGACGAGTCGTTTACAAGCTTTGCCGTATGGTGTGTTACCGTATAGCTGATGTGTGTTGGAGTCCACGTGTGCCTATTTTCCTCCTATCGCCTTATCTGCGAACATATTTCTTCGCTTAGAAAACTGTTTGATGTAGGGCTGTGGGTAGTTATCTAACTGTGGCGCACTTACTGGGTTTGGGTCGATAGTTGTAATAAATAAAACCTATCTTTATTCCTTTGTGTATTATTTAGAGAAGAGCTTCTGTCATTATTATCCCGTATTGTGAGGTCAAATTCAGAGAAATTTCGTAATACAATCGTAATATTTTGTAATACATAATACAATACAATACAATTACAATACTTTATTACGAATTGTATTATCTCATAATACAAAACATAATACAATCAAAATACATAAAACTATATTATTAATATCTATATTTGTTTAAATCAATGCAAATTTTAAGAACGATTTATTTAAATAAATACACAATATTCACCTAACGAATTTTAATGCATTATTTATGTCTTTTGAGACAGTAACTTCAATCTTTTGATGGCACAATCATTTCATATATTCAGCACATAATATTTTTCACAGCTTTTTATGTATTGCATTCATCTTTTCTGAACGCGAAATTGAATTAATTCATAATATTGTTCTATATTTTTTTCATGTCTCTTAAATCTTGTAATATGTAGCAATACAACAAGAAACTATTCGTCAAAATGTATTCAGTTGGTCGTGTTAGTTTGCTCGCACCTTGGAGAAATCTTCAATTTAATTACTCTGACCTTTCTATGTCAGGATACGGGCAGCAGAACGGATAAATGTTGCTCTCTCGTTCAATGTCGCTTTGCAGTGGGATGTTTGAACACCTGAAAAAAGAATATAGAGATATTATGGATTCTTTTCACATTCTTTGACATTTCACAATTAAATACCTAAATGTATTACCCTCTCCATGCACTTACACACAGTCCACTCCCATTAATGTGCAATAGCCTCTCTCAGATGGCAGGAGGCAGCACTAACAGTGAAAAGTATACAAAGCATGCGGGTGGGAGCGGAAAAGAGGGCAGTACTTGTCGCAATACAGAACCGTTGCGATTTACCGCACGTCCAAGAGGGCGTTCGGGCCAAGGGCGGACGTGTTTCCGCAACGGCCGTGCTTGTAAAGTGTTTGCCTGCCGCCATGGCAAACGTACACCATGCATGGCAATATGGCGCTATCCAAAGGCGACACCGAACACACTGTGGTGCACCACGAGCAAGAGATGACAGGGGAGACCGACGGCTACGAAGATCAGTACTGTCGGATAAACACGCAACTGCAGAGCGCATGAGCCGAGGGGCTACCAACTAGGCCCTCATGCACCACGCCGACTGCAGCTCTTCGGCGACGAGGCTGCAATTTGCACGCCAATACCGCAACTGGAGGCCTTTTCAGATGAATAACGTTTCCTGCTCCACCGCGTACATGGCCATTGGTGTATAACGAGCGAGACGTATATGGGGGAGGGGGTCATGCGCTCTCCTTCCCTGGCCACCAAACTTCCCCAATGGAGAATCTGTGGGGCCTTCTCGATCGGGCTGTGCGCGCCGTGGATTCGCACCCGAGGACGCTAGCGCAGCTGGCCACGGCTCTGCGGTCGGCTTCGCTTCACATCCCTGAACCTCATTGGCTCCCTTCCTGCATATCTCGCAGCGATGCAAAAGGGCTTAATCAGAATTTGACGGGTGGTCACACTAATGGGACTGGACTATGTATGAGAAAATAATTATGAAATTAAAATAAAATTTGATCACACTACGAAACCGTTTATTAGTAATCGCGAAAGCTGCACAAATCTCCCAAGAAATCTGTTAATCACAATCTAGCCCTGAACATGACAGAAAACCATTACCCTGTCATTGTCAACTAGTGGTGAAACAGAATGGTACACACTCTCCCGTTCTATTCGGACTTGCCACATACTCTTGCCAGCTGCCGTCTGTCGCCGCCCGAAGTATATTTTTTGAACTTTTCTTAATTTTTTGGTTTCCGAATAGTAGAACGGAAATATTATTTTAATAATATTAAAGAGCAGTAAATCCTTGACATAAAAGGCAATTTCCTTTCAAAAATGTGAAGCCTGTTTTAAGAAAATGGCGTTTAAGCGCTACTATAAATTCAAAATTTGTAGCTCTTTTCACATGTTTTTCACAGAAAAAGTTTGAAAATCTTTATTTGAAGTCCTTTGAAGAACTTTAACTTACAAATACAATAATGTTTATCAATTGCAGGAAATGTGCATTTTAACGTAGTGTGAGATCTTTCAAAATACAACATTTGTGTGTTTTTTTAAAGGTCAAATAACCCGAAATAAAATTTACGTCGTATTAAAGTGGGCAATCCGTTCAAAAAATTTGAAGAAAAAATTGGAGCAGTTTTTGAGAAAACTTCGTTTCAGTGTTTCTCAAAATGCGGATTTTTGAGTTATTTTTCAGAGAAAACGACTGAGTTTATGAGAAACTTTATAATTTGTGACATTTTATTAACTACGTTTATGAGGCATTATTTAAAACACATGTACTCATAAATATAATGTGCATTTTCGGTACAAAGTGCCTTGGTTTAGTCAACTGGTTGTTGAAGTTCTCTTTTTTGCCGCGACAGACGCATTGCGCTGTTCCTCTTCCTGTTGGCTCTTTTTGGGAAGCGGCGGCACCGCGCGTGCACGCACCCGCCTCGCCTCGGCGCTGCCGCTCCCGTTTTGAGGAGGTAAGTTTAGGGTGAAGGTGGAGCAATGGAAACGGCCGAGGACTTACGTGAGGACGTGGAGGGCGAGGTGTCCGCCGGGGCCGCGGCTGCAGAGGAGGAGCGCGCACGCGCCGCTGGGGTCGCGCGCCGCCGCTCCCTCCGACAGAGCCCCGCCCTCGAAGGCGCAGCCCCCGGGCGGCGCAGCTGCGACACGAAAGCGCGTCACTCGCAGTTCAATTTCCTCACCCGCCCGGACTATCACCACTACTTGTCTCCTGCTTCAAAAAAATATTCCTTGTATCTGAATCACAAAACTGGGAATCTCCACAAGTTCGTGCGATACCTTTTTCTTTCGCGAGGAAGAAAATCGTGCGTTCCGTAAGCTGTGCGCGACGCAGGTGATTGGCGCAGCGGTAGAGCGTCGCCGGAGCGCGTGCGAGGGCGACACAAGATGAGCGAGCCGATGCAATCTCAAGTGCACTTAAGTACTTTCTTAGGGAACCTCAAAGCGCGGTCCTGGGGTCATGCCCAGGCTCTGCGCGACGAACCGCGACTCGGCCTTGCTCAGAGCCTGCGCGTTCGCCATGCGCTCTGAGGAACGCCGCAATATGTTGGCCGAACCGTCAGAACACAGAGACGATACGCCCGGCGAGGGGCTTGCGCGCATGGGAAGCACCGGCGCATAATCGCCCCACGCGCGAGGCATTCAGTCGGAAATTGGAACGAGAACGGCAACATGATGCAAATGCTTTGAGTCAAGCAGCAAAAAACAGCTTTCGATGCGACAATGAAAACAATAAATGTCGGCGACGGAGGAATTTTGTTTCGTCCGATACATCTGTCAGAACTGTTAAAACATTCTTGATTTCATTAATTGTACATTCAATTCGGGTACGAAGTAAAATAGAGTCATCGCTGCTACATTGTTAGGTGGTCGAACGCTAATTCAGCGCTCAAACGACCGCTGAATTTGCAAACAATAGAAGAACCGGCGTGGAATATGAATAAACATCGGCAATGGCGAAAGTGAAACAAAATTGTAAGTTAATAATTTGGGATGGGTGAGCGATGACGCGTGAATGAGCGTTAAAGACACTCCATCGAGCATTAAGAAATTCGCGTAGCGACCAGAACCTCTTCGGAGGCGCGATGATTCTACTGGCTGGAGATTTTCGCCACACGCTGCCAGTCATTCCCAGATCAACAGCAGCTGATGAAGTAAGTGCTTGCTTCAAGACATCAGCTTTATGGAGATACGTGAAAAAGCTCACGTTAACAACGAATATGAGTTGCGTTACAAAATGACATATCGGCGGAAGAGTTATCAAATGCATTTTTGCCAATGGGAAAATTCCTGTCAACACTTCTACTGGCCTCATTTCGTTGCCACCAATTTTTGGCAATTTCTAATTTTCGAACGAAGAATTAATATTGGAAGTGTTCCCAAATATATCAATGAATTATAAAAACTATGCTTGGTTGAGCGAACGAGCCATTTTAACAGCTAAAAATAAGAATGTAGATGATTTAAATGTAAAAATTCAGTCAAATTGATGGACAAATGCATTCATTTAAGTCGATTGATTCTATTACCGATCCAAATGAAGTAGTCAATTATCCAAATGAATTCCTAAATTTATTGGATTTGCCACGATTCCCGTTACACAATTTACAGCTCAAGGTTGGCTCTGTGATAATTATGTTACGAAATCTGAATCAGCCAAAATTGTGCAACGGAACCAGACTCGCTGTTAAAAAAAATTATGAAAACTGAAGCATGAGCTACTATACGAGTAATCATAGGAAAGTTCAAAGGCAAGGATGTGTTTATTCCAAGAATACCACTAATGTCAACTGACTTCCCTTTTGAATTTAAACGTGTCCAGTTTCCAGTGCACCTTGCATTCGCAAAGACAGTTAATAAATCCCAAGGTGAATTGTCAGAATGGGGAACAAAAATTGCATTGGCGTGTTTTTGCATGTGCAGTTGCAAGTTGCGTTTTCGAGAGCCGGAAACCATCTGTACTATTTGTTTTCTCTCTGGAAGGAAAAATGAAAAAGATTGTACATCACAAGACATTGCAATAGTTTTTATCAAATTATTTAGTTATAATTTTTTTCTTTACATGCTCGAAAAGAAGATTTTGTCTTACTTATTGTCATTACGTAACGTGTAACACTTCGGGTACATTTTCATTTGACGGGTTAACCTTTTTCGATACATCAAACATGTCAATTTGGAATTATTGATAATCCGACTGATTTCAATTTGTGTGTTGCATTTTCCTAGTCTGCGACTACACCACCCATGTGAATCCGAGTCGATCACAATAAGTAAAACATGTCTGTCTGGATTTTCGAAAATATTCACGAACGAAAAAAAAATACGGCGGTATGAAGTTTGCAGGGTCAGCTAGTATCGTATGAAATAATAATTTTATGTAAAGAGATCAATTATTAATCTCTTCAGCGCCAAAGACTGCGGCGGCAGCACTGAAAGTACGGGACAATGCGAATGTTTGAACAACGCTCGCACTCGCTCCGCACTCGCTCCGCCCTCCGAAGGAAAGAAATGCTTTATTGGTGTTTTTAACCGTTGCCGCTCTCTAAGCCGGCGTTTATCTCGTAGGCCCCTACAATATAAGAGATATTATTATTGTCTTGTTGATGAAAAATAGTGTTATAATTACGTATAAATTAATATTTTCTTTACGTATCTCTGATAACCTAACAGCAACTGGCGACAACGAGAGCTATAATGATATTCAAATACATGACAATATTTTCAAAATATACTGTAATGGATAAAATGTAACATGAATGAAGACATTTGGGAGTAAATATACTTTATTTAGCTGTGTAAATGAACCGCTTGGGCTCATTACATCACATTGGGGACGAAACTTTCCACTCGCGAATAAAATTGTCGTTTACTCTCTTATTCCACAAGTTATTATCAATAGGTTTACCAATAAATGAGCGGATTTTTCTTCCCATCTATGAGGTTGACCTTAGGTCGATGAACTTAGTTTGGTGACGAGCCCAGAATAAAGTCACTCGACACTTAGTCAGACTTTCGGTTTCAATTGCTAATAACTTAAGAGTACGTTTCAATTGCTAATTACTTCCGATACGTGACGTATGATATAGTTTCGTGCGTCAAGTAACAAATAAACGATGTAAATGAAAATAAAAGGACGGCATATTTGTATCCATTGAAATGCAGGGAAAATATTGATTCTTGGTAACTTAAGTGCACTGAATCCATTTCTCTGTTTTGATTTTGTCACGATACGTTTTTTTGTTCCTAAGAAGAATCCAAAATTGGCAAAATTCATCATTAAAAACTAGTGGTGCTAAAACAGTACATACTTCCTCGCTCCTTAATAGCGGTTTTGTAATAATATCATACCGCATTTCTGCCTATATGAACACATCTCAGTCGATGAGCGCTGGCAACAAAGCGCGCATGCAGCTATGAACGCAGGAAAAAAGGGCATAATTTTTTTTTCATTTTTTCCTAAAAGAGACATTTTGCCATAAATGGAACTTTTTCAGTTTGCATTGTTGTTATTTTATCAAAGTTCTTCGACGGCGTTCTTTATGGAACACTATTGCTTATTTCAAATACATACAATTATTTTCGCCATGTCTCCAAGATATTTTTGTTCATTCTTAAATGTTTTATTTTAATTTAAATGAAGTCTTACAACCTAACAATACCATAATTGATATCTTCATAATTCATTAAGCAATTAAACAGTTATAGAACTTTATCAAATTAAACAGTTTTCCATCAAGATAAATTTTATAAATCTGATAAATTAAAAAGGTCTCTACGCCCCAAAAGAAACGCTTAAATTAATAAATACTCCAAATTAATCATCTGTAGATTACTTCTGGAATTAATCAATTAATAAATAACTAGCATGTTGTTAATTGTCTCCGGTATGAAAGAACGATAAAAACCATAATACCGTCGGCAGACAGTCAACTAGAGTACTTCAAAATACTCATTGAATAATTAACTAAAGTAAAAGTGCGAGGAAAGTGCGCATTCATTTTTTTTCTCGTAGTTGATGTGAAGCCTGTATTTTTTCCATTAATTTCAAGCAGAAATGACCCAAAACTACTCTTGTTTTTCAAGACCTTTTTTGAAGAGCTAATTTTGTATGACACGTTGTCTGAGGCAAAAATCAATTTTGTAGTTGTAAAAAGTTTTTTTGCAATTTTCGAAAAAACGAGCAATACCCGAATATGAAACTAGCGCCCTATTTCTTACCTTTTTTGTTGTTTTTTTTCAAAAAATGACCTTTTTTATGAAGTTAATGTTGTTCAACAGACTTTCTCGGAGACAAAAATCTTTATCTTCAATTTTGAAGTTTTATTATTTTTTTTCAAAAAATCGGGGATGACAACAAAAATGAGACCTGTACCATGCTCTTAAGCATCCTTTACACTATTTTACAAAAAAACTTTATCAAAAAATTTGGAGCTTTTTTTAATTTTTTTTTAATTTTTCAGGGGTGTCTTATAACGTACCCCCCCCCCTAAAAAATTAAAATATTGGTTTGAAATTCCAGGGTCAGCGACACTACCATGAACGATTGGAGAATATCAATTTTGCAGAAAAGTGAATGAATGGTTATTCGGAATTTAACTTCTAATAACATATTAAGTCAGTGTCCGTGCATAGACAGCTGAAATTGATTTGTACACGCAGTGACAGCTGACACTCGTACTGCACGTTGGGTCTGGCACAACAGCCAACCTGTGCATTCGGCATTCGTGCATAATGTTAAGAAAACTCCAAAAAAAGTGAAAATGTTCTTCACTATGGCTTTTACTAGAATCCTAGGAGGTTCATAACTAAAAGCAATATTTCCATTAAAGCTCTTTTGGGAGAAATGAGAAAAACATAAGAAATACAAAACTTACAAACGCGATTTAATTATATTCATTTTTCTCTACTGGTGAATTTTCGTGAAGTTCAGTTTCCACCTTGTATTCTTTTGCTTATTTATTGAGTTTTTCTCATTTATGCAAAAAAGTGTTGGAAAGGAGATGTCGCTTTTAGTTGGGGAGCGCGTTCAGCTGCGCCTTACTCTCGAGCTGTGCCTCCGAGGCGGCGAGGGCGACGGCGAGGGCGAGGGCGAGGGCGGGGGCGGGGGCGGCCAGCCGAAGCAGCGCGCGCTGCCCGCTCGGCGCCATAACGCAGCTCCGCAGACGCATCCAGCAGCGGCCTCTTCACAAGAGTTCTTCAACTAGGAAAACGAGAGCACAGGCTGCAATCTTTGACTGAGACAACCTGTTCGTGGCGGAAGATACAAATGGGTATGCAGGAGTCCATTTACTGCAAGTTTAATATTTTCTGCAACTTTTCCCAAGGTGGTTTTTTTGGTGAGGACGCCACCCTAGCACGCTTAAGGAGTAGCCGCCACTGGCTTTCAGAGACCCGCTACAACCCAATGAGATTGCCGGTTGTTTTTTTTAAATTTAGAAACAGCAACACCTGTCACTTGTTTGCATAATGTTGAAAAACATTATCCAATTGAATGAAAACCCCTCTTTCTTAATCAAGAGGCCAACCGCAAAAGCTTCTAAAAGTCAATTTCGTTTTGCGAGGCGCACGAAATGGGTGTTTGATATAAAAAAGGTTTTCAAAAGTTAATATGAGGTAAAATTATTAAATAAGATTATGTGTGTTGCTTTGCTAATATGACTGAAATTCATATTTTTACCAATGGTTTTATTAATTAAATTCGTAAGTAATTTTCTATTAGGTAGCCTTCAGAAAATACATTAACACAAATCATTTAATTTCTTGTTTTAGTTAATCGCTATTCATGAATATTTCCATACGTGATTAGATAGGCACCGTTGAAAGAAAGAAACGTTCACTTTCTTGAATGGCAAAAGGTGAAGCCAATCATTAACTAGACTTCATTATTTCCATCTACTTTTCATCGTCATTTTGATCTTTTCAATATTTGTTGTGTCGTTCTCCTGCAAATCACATTAAGTTCAACCTTTCATTTTTCATTGCAATCCTATTTATTTACGTCAAAAACAGTTGAAAACTATATGACGTGCAATGGGGAGAATTTAAATTGATGTTACAATTATGACCAGAAGCAAAACAAGGGACCATCTCAGGATTTGCTCAAGGATCAGGGAAACTGAATGAAAACCTGATCGAGATGGGGGTCATTGGCCCAGAAGCTGAAAAACAATACTAGTTACAGGTTCTTTAGAATTATACAATCCAAATGGTAAATAAATGTAACTAAATGTCATTGTTAAAATTAATATTACTTTCCTTTTGTATGCTTGGTACAGTCCCTAATTGTAGTTGCGATGTGATTAAGTATTGTTTAATGGCATTGAATGAAATTTCGCTTCTTTCTATTTCTTCATCTACAAGATGAAATCGTGACGGCAATGAGCTACAAGATTAAAGATAATGCACTGTCTTGAATATAAAAAACGTTTCAATGACGACTAAAAAATCTCTGATAGACTTGCTGCAACGGTTATCCTTAGTTTTGAACTTTAATGAATTGGCTGCACAAACTCGGAAAACTTTGCATACATGACTAAAGCTCTAAAAAATACAAGTTTCTTCTTTCGAGATGAAGAAAGCAACTTTGGATGACAGATTTCCGACTCCAAGTATATCCACTCTTGAACATGAATTCCCGTGACCTATTATCATCATTTTCCAGCTTTCGTCCTTCTTTTCGCGCTACCAATCTCATCCACGGGCCCTCTCAGAAAGTCTTCCTTTGACCATAGTAAATGTAAACTATAAGGACTTCTCCGTCGATGCAATAGCTTCTGACAAACAGCAGTGAGGGAAAGAAAAGAAAACTTCGTCCTGGAGCTAGGTTTCAATGTTGGCTGAAAATGTCTTCTCGTACGGATACTATCTCGTTCTAAAAAACTTTCCCTATTTTGATATTTCTTCTCTATAGAAATAAACGTCTTCTCCCTCAGGTATACAGGCAGTGCCTGTTATGCTTCCATTCCCATCTGGTCACCCCATCTTTCTCTCTGGCGACCAGGACTGGAATAGCGGGCTCAGAGCATCAACAGATGTCACTGCAGTGCCTCTGGCCGGGACGTTCTAAGGTTCAAGTTCCGATGGTGGCGGAATTTTCGACACTAGTTACATAGCTAGGTCGAATTCTGTCGCTGTGTGGAGGAGAATTGTAGCGAACGCTAGTATTCTGATCGGTAGTTTTCCGTGATTTCTCCGAATAACACCAAGCGGATTCCGAAGCAGGTCCCTAACAAACGGGCCACTGACCGCTATTTCCTTCCTCTTCCTTGTCCTATGCTCACCCCGTATTTACATACACTTCAATTGACATGCACTACGCTGCCGCACGTGAAGGGAGGCCGGTCAGCGGCGGTGCCCCGCTGGTGCGAGATGCCTGCTTGGGTTAGGTGCACGCCGGCTCTCGCCAGCCAGCGGGGGCAGACCACAGTTACCTCTGGGCGCGCCCGAAATCATCAAGCGATCGGGGGACCGTTCGGCTTCATCGGCGGCGTTGCAAGATTCTCTTCGGCAATCTATTGCCATCCATCCAAGAATTTCGGAAAACGCCAATTTTATCTTAAAGACTACATACAGCCAGTTCTTCGTGAATTTTTAAATTTCATTTCCTGTCTGTGAATTTATAACCAGCTACTGATCTCAGAAATCTATCAGCACTTGGTAATCGTGTGGTCTCTTTCTTGGCTGATGTCCAATTTTTACTTCACTGTAGACATACAAGGTTGTTCCAAAAATGATCAGACTCTTCAAATAAATTTATATGGCAATATACATCTCAATTGTATTTGTCGTCTTTCAAGTGCATCCTTTGGCTAGCCACACACCGCTCCCAGCGTTTCTTCTAACTATCAATTGCCCTCTAAAACGCTGTTTTGAAATCACCCTAAGGTTCTCTGTACACTCTCTCTCGATGTTCTCCTATTGGCGGCCTTTGAAGGTAGATTTCAATCTCAGAAACAGAAGAAAAGTGGCTGGAGTCACGTCTGCAGAATAATGAGGCTATCGGATCACCGTTGTTCCGATTTGCGCCAAATTCTCGGACGCAAGGAACTTTGCAAGTTGTCATGGTGGAATTTGAATTTTCGATCCCTCCATAATTCAGGTATTTTCCTCATCACAGCGTGCCTCTTCAAAACTTCAGATAGTATTCTCTATTAAATGTTTGTCCTTCAGTGACATACTCATAACGAATCAGCCCTTGACCTTCGCGTTGGACCGAGGCAACCGAGCCTCGTTTGGTCGACGAGAAGTCGGCGTTCTGCTCCATTTAAATCGGCTACACCACTCCAACCTCTGGCACCGGCTCACGTGCGTTGGTTCATCGCCGAAGGCTAGTAGGATTAATCTGATGGCCTCTTTAGCACTTTTGTCGACATTAAAATAAAATGGGATGCACGCACGCATCTCCTTCATTATCCGACACAATTACTGTACCGCAGGCCGCTGCAGACTCACACAAGACGCGTTGTCACGCGGATCCAACACATCGCAGTGAGACGCACCCGGTCGCGCTCTAATCGCCTTGGTTCCCCAACAAGGCGCAGCGAGTCTCGGCTTGAATTCTTTAACACACCTTATATTGCGATACTTAATAAACTTCTTTGTTTCTATTTCAAAGAGTAAGATATCTCCAAATAGTAGACAGAATTAGAAAATGCTATTAACTCAGCGAAAATGTTTATTGAAAAGCTACGGTTTTGTGCTTTTGACGGCACTTCTAAGTTTGGGGAACTTTCCATTCAACCGAAAAATTCATAAGTATATTTACTGGGTAAGGCATGGATGTTTTCGTCTTGTGGTAGTGGTTAGCTTTTCAAATCACCTCACATCGTATTTGAACACCGTATAATCTCTCCGCATCATTTGTCAGTCTTGTTTACCCTGTTCCATACTCTGGAAGGCAAAGTAAACTACCTCTGTGATCACCAGCCACAAAAGGGAGGACAGAAAGACGTAAAGTTATCTCTGACTCTCAATAATGAGTCTTACTCTCATCACACACAAAGCTTTTAAGATCACCACCAAAGCTTTTAAATATAAATGTATTATTTCACAAAAGTTATAAATGTTATTAAATGTTATTTTTTGCTTGTAAAGGGGTTTAGGAGCAATATATCCAACACTTCCCCTAAAATATTTTGAAAATAATATTTTCTTCTAATTTTACTTCTTAATGTAAGTCATAAATTCTCAAAAGAAGCGTTCAAACAACTTTCTGTGTACATCAAATTGTCTTTTCTTTCTAAATTTTTATTTTTTCCATGAAAACACCTTCCACATTTTTATTTCTATCGAGCGCTCAGAAGGGGCCGGGGGCGCTGGGGCAACTGGGCTCCAGGCCCCAATTCACCAATGATTTTGTTACAATTGTTACAAATCTACACGTTAATATTTTTCTACGCCTACTTCCTTTTGAAACGCCCCATCTTTATTTCAACATTTCTTCAACTAAAAGGGCACTAATGCACACGATCCGAAAGAAAGTCGAAAGTTGTGTACAGTTTGAGAGAAAACGTAATGGCGGGGTGTAATACGAGAGGCTTACGATGCGTCAAATGCAATTTCCCCGAGTAAACCGGCTTTGGAACCGGTCTTTCTTCAGAAACCTAACGCGACGTAGTGATAAATCATTTAAACAAAACTATGAATCATTCTCATCATACCCTGCTGAAGAACGTCTCTTCGTATCTTCTTGCTTCATCATCAGAAGAGTTTGAATCCTGAAAAGGTGTGATGCTTGTGGTATATTTCTCAGACTAAAAATAATAAAAACATCGCTTACCGTTACTTTTCTTGGTCGTTTTATGTAAATGATTACCTAACATTCTTCATCCTTCTCCTCACAATCCAATATCTTTCATCATCTCTCAATCACCATCTCTTCTCCGAGTTCAATCTATTTTACGAATCAGATTTACGACTGCGAATGGCTTAGAGGTGAGAGGATGTTTTTTATCTTATTCCTCAATAGATGCTAAATAATAAACTGCGGACGTCCCTGCTAAGTTGTAGAATATTCCGGGTTAAGGGATCGTTTGAATTAATGCAACCCATAGGGCCATATTGTCCCACTGTGCTACGTTCGCAACGGATGGAGTAGGATTATAATGCTTCCACTTCTGGAAAAGGGAAAAATTGTTACAAAAAAGAGGACATTTCATATAAAATGTTC